CTAACGCTGGTCAGTACTGGTAAACAGAGGCCAGCAATTCTGGCAGTTACAGATAAGAGAAGGTATGCAGCTTTACCTCTCTGCATTCTGCAGAGTAAATTAGCAGTTTACAGAGGCCAAGGCTAGCAGTCATTGTGAGGAGGACGGAAACAGTTTTGTCTCTTTATAAAATGGCATTGTACAGGTTCTAACTCTAGGCCACCTATATCACAGAATTTTGCTCTGTCGCCAGGCTGGAGTGCAGTGGCGCGATCTCGGCTCACTGCAACCTCCGCCTTCCAAGCTGAAGCGATCCTCCTGCCTCAGACTCCAGAGAAGCTGGGACGACAGGCGCCCACCACCGTGCTGGGCTAATTAGGGGCTAGGGATTTCAAGAGCTATGGAGTGGCTGAGGTCTCAGGGTCGCTGATGAGGTGAAGTCTTGGAAGAGGGAGATACATTGACTGCCTTCTCACACTGATTTTGTTCCTCTGTGGGGTCTCCACACTGGTTGGCAGCAGCTGGAATTCAGGATCTGAAAAACTGGTTTTTTTTTGGAGACGGGGTGTCCCTCTGCTGCCCAGGCTGGAGTGCAGCGGTGCAAACACAGCTCACGGCAGCGCTGGCCTACTGGGCAGACATGATCCTCTTACCTCAGAATCCAGAGTAGCTGGGACTTGTGAAAGGAAAATCTTGGGAACCCAAAATTACTAAACCAAAGGGAAGGTGAAGCTGGGACTGCTCAGCACAGACCCGCCTCCCATTCTATTCAAAACCCTTCCTCTGCACCTACTGAGATAGGTGCACATCTGATGGCCTCCTTTGGAAAGGCTTCTCAGAAACTCAAGGGAGGTGTGCACGGTGGCTCACGCCTGCAGCCCTTTGGGCGGCCAAGGCGGGCGGATCACCTGAGGTCTGGAGTTCAAGACCAGCCTGGCCAGCCTGGTGAAATTTTGCCTCTACCAAAAATACAAAATATCAGCTGGGTGCAGTGGCATGCACCTGTAATCCCAGCTGCTCTGGAGGCTGAGGCAGGAGAATCACTTGAACCCAGGAGGTGGAGGTTGCAGTGAGCCGAGATCGCACCACTGCACTCCAGCCTGGGCAACAGAGCAAGACTTTGTCTCAAAAAAAAAGGAAACTCAAATGAATGCAACCATTGGTAGACATTTTTTCTCACCTATCTATCCCTGTTTCAGGTTGTCTCACCTTTCTGGATGATACCAATGTACTTTTTTTTTTTTTTTTTTTTTTTTTTTGAGACCGAGTATCACTCTTGTTGCCCAGACTGGAGGGCAATGGCATGATCTCGGCTCACCGCACCCTCTGCCTCCTGGATTCAAGTGATTCTCCTGCCTCAGCCTCCTGAGTAGCTGGGATTAGAGGTGTGTGCCACCACACCCAGCTAATTTTTCTGTTTTTTTGTTTTTGAGACGGAGTTTCGCTCTTGTTACCCAGGCTGGAGTGCAATGGCACGATCTCAGCTCACCGCAACCTCCGCCTCCTGGGTTCAGGCAATTCTCCTGCCTCAGCCTCCCGAGTAGCTGGGATTACAGGCACGCGCCACCCAGCTAATTTTTGTATTTTTAGTAGAGACGGGGTTTCACCATGTTAACCAGGATGGTCTTGATCTCTTGACCTCGTGATCCACTCGCCTCGGCCTCCCACAGTGCTGGGATTACAGGCGCGAGCCACCGCGCCTGGCCTAATTTTTCTGTTTTTAGTAGAGACGGGGTTTCACCATGATGGTCAGGCTGGTCTCAAACTCCTGATCTCATAATCTGCCTTCTTTGTCCCCCAAAGTGCTGGGATTATAGGTGTGAGCCACCACGCCTGGCCAGAGCTGACTTTGGAGCTGGGTTTTGTGCATGCTCCAGGGTAAGGGTCCACCTTGACTCTACTGCAGAGGCCCTTCTTCCTCTGGGGAACTGGGGCCTGGAGCAGCGGCCTCTGCTCTCAGAACCTGGTGTGCAGAGCCTGGCCCCAGCAGGGCCCAGAAAGGGCACCCAGGGGACTGGAGGTCCCACCCCACTGCAGGCGGCTCATCACACTTCCTGCTCCCCTCCCAAGGGAACCAGGCAAGGGTGGCGCGTGCCTGGCACAGTCGGCCACAAGCCTGGTGCAGGATGTCAGTTACCGATTCAAACCCCCCACCCTCTCCAAGCCTCAGCTTCTCCTTTGTACCCAGGGAGATGGACCCAACAAGTGCCCTCTCCTTGAAAACGTGTGCCAGGTGCAGGCTCCAAGAACTCTTCTGGGCTGAAGACGCCCAATTGAGGGGCCTTTTCCCTCCCCCACCGGCTCCATGCCCCTCACCCCCACCTGCCACAGCCTCCCCGCCCACTCCCGGCACCACTCTCCACCAGGCAGGAATTCTCTGAGCCCAAGTCTCAATCCCTCCCACACACAGGGAACCAGGGCCTCCTCTTGCTTCTCCTATTCCACAACCTTCTATGGCTCCCGTGGCCCACAGCATCAGGCCCAGGTCCTCCCCAGCCACACACCACATCCATCCAGTCAGCCTCCCTGCAAGCCCCCCACCTCGCCAGCCCTGCCCTCTCTGTGCCTGAGACTGGAGCAGGTCTGCCCAGGCCATGGCTCTTCCTGGCTTTTCTCTGGCCACGACCTTTACTGGCTGATGCCTCCCCACACAGCCCTGTGCCAGCATCTTTACCAGAAAGATGTCACTGGAAACTTAGCCCGTGCCAGGAAGCCCAATGGCCATATCCCTCCACCAGGTTCACCCAAGGTACTGGTTAAGAATGCAGATTTCAACCGGGCAGGTGGGTGGCTCACGCTGTAATCCCAGCACTTTGGGAGGCCAAGGTGGGTGGATCACTTGAGGTCAGGAATTCAAGACCAGCCTGGGTCTTGAATTTTTTGTATTTTAAATAGAGATGACAAAACCCCATCTCTACTTAAAATACAAAAATTAGCCAGGCATGGTGGCGTGTGCTTGTAACCCCAGCTACTCGGGAGGCTGAGACAGGAGAATCCCTTGAACCCGGGAGGTGGAGATTGCAGTGAGTCGAAATCGTGCCACTGCACTCCAGCTTGGGCTACAGAGTGAGATTCAGGATTTCAGAGCTGGGGGCTGGGAGGACAGGTGTCTAGAGCCCGGGAGGTGTGGCCCAGCCAGGCCCACACTGGTCTCCGTGGGACAGGGCTGTGTGTGGCTCCTGAGGCCTGGAGCCTGAGGGAGGCTGCCCCTGCTTCCCTGGACCCCCATCCTGGAGGTTGTGACTCCTGGGTGGGCAGCTCAGGTAGGAGGCAGCCTGGGCAGGCCCAGGGCTCACAGCCACCCCTCCTGCTGCTGGTCTGTGCCAGGAAGCACCAGCTAGGGACCCCGAAGAAGGCCGTGGGAGGAATGAGTGAGGGGGAGGGAATGAGTGACTGAGGGAGGGAGGGAATGAGTGAGTGAGGAAATGAATGAGGGTGGGAATGAGTGAGGGAATGAATGAGGGAGGGAGGGAATGAGGGAGGGAGGAAGGGAATGAGTGAGGGAATGAATGTATGAGAGAATGAGTGAGTGAGGGAGGGAATGAGAGAGGGAGGAAGGGAATGAGTGAGGGAATGAGAGGGAGGAAGGGAATGAGTGAGGGAATGAATGAGGGAGGGAGGAAATGAATGAGTGAGGGATGGAGGGAATGAATGAGGGAGGGAGGAAATGAGTGAGTGAGGGATGGAGGGAATGAGTAAGGGTGGGAATGAGTGAGGGAATGAATGAATGAGAGAATGAGTGAGGGAGGGAAAGAGTGAGGGATGGAGGGAATGAGTGAGGGATGGAGGGAATGAGGGTGGGAATGAGTGAGGGAATGAATGAGGGAGGGAGGAAATGAATGGGTGAGGGATGGAGGGAATGAGTGAGTGAGGGTGGGAATGAGTGAGGGAATGAATGAATGAGAGAATGAGTGAGGGAGGGAAAGAGTGAGAGATGGAGGGAATGAGTGAGGGAACGAATGAGGGAGAGAGGAAATGAGTGAGGGAGGAAATGAGTGAGGGAGGGAATGAGTGAGGGAGGGAATGAGTGAGGGAGGGAATGAGTGAGGGAGGGAATGGGTGAGGCAGGGAATGAGTGAGGGAGGGAATGAGTGAGGGTGGGAATGAGTGAATGAGGGAGAGAATGAATGAGGGAGGAAATGATTGAGGAAGTGAAGGAATGAGTGAGCGAGTAAAGGAATGAATGAATGAATGAATGAGTCAGTGAGGGAGGGAATGAAAGAATGCGGTCATTCCCCGTGGTCCCCAAGCGCCCGGACACAGTGACCTTGGCAGCGACCCCGCCGTCGGCGAAATGGGGGTGGGCGGGCCAGGAGAGCCCGGGGCCAGCACAGCCGCGCGTTGGCGGAGCGTCCAGCGCGCTCGCGGGGCTGGGGGCCTCCCGACCCGGTCCCCGCGGTTGGCGCGGGGATGGGAGTGGGGGTGGGGCCGGGAAGCGCCCCTCCCCCACGGGCCCGCCCCGCCCCCGCCGCTCGCAGGCCCCGCGCCCCGCCCCCGCCCAGGGTCCGCCCCCAGGTTAGGGAACATCCTCACTTCTCCTCCCGTCGGTCATGCGCGCATTCGGCCTTTTGTACCGGGTCAGCTCATTGGGCGGATGAGAAGATTTCCCCGCCCGCCGCCCCGAACTGGCCAATTGCAAGAGGTTTCACAGGGCGCTAAACTAGCGGGAGCGTCACCGTCCTGCGACGCTTCAGGGTATCCTTAGGCCTCAGTGGTCTTTGCCCCCAGACCCCAGGCCCTGACCCCAAGGAAACCTCCGGGACGTGTGCCTGGAGAGGTGACTTCCGGGTATCCAGGGAGCTTTTGGAGTTCTCGGCCTCCTTTTGCCCCCGCTGCTCGCCGGCGCGTCCTCGGATGGACGCGGGCGCCCCGAAGGGGAGTTTGCAGACGCTCCCTCACATCGGGGACGCGGCTCCTTTAAGGGTGTAGGTGTCCAGGGCGCCGCCTGACTGGAAAGTCGCCCCCCGACCGGGCTCCTGGGGCGGACCCGGGTCGCGGGCGCGCGGTGGCGGGGCCCGGGCGGCGGGGGGCGGGTGGTGGCGCGGGCAGCACTCGGGGCGGGACGGCGGCGGCGGCGCGCGAGGCAGGCTTGCGGAGGGCAGCCCCGCGCCAGGCCCCGCCTCGCGCGCCCCGCCCGCCCCAGGGTCCTCGGAGCTGCTCGGGCTGCGCGCGGAGCGGGCTCCGGAGGGAAGTCCCGAGACAAAGGGAAGCGCCGCCGCCGCCGCCCCGCTCGGTCCTCCGCCTGTCCGCGACGCTCGCCGGGGCCGCGGCCGCCCGAGGTGAGCGCGGGCGGGGGCCGGGCCGGGGCCGGGGCCGCGGGGCGGGGGCGGGCCAAGGCCTCCAGCGCTGTCGGGCCCGGGCCCCCGGCTGCCCCGCGCCCCGCCCCGCCGAGCCCGGGCCCCGCGTCGCGGCCGAGCTTCCCAGAGAGGCCCCGCGCTCGACGCCGGCCCGGCCCGCGGTGCTGGCGTCGCGGGGCTGTAGCCCGAGCGCCCGGTTCGCCGTAGGCCCTCGGGGCCGGGGCTCCCCCACTTCGCCCTCGAGGTGCGCCTGGCGCGGGGCCGGGGCAGCCACCTGCAGCCGGGGCCCCGCGAGGCCGCGCCTTCCTCCTCCGCGGCGAGCGGCTTCCGGGGTCACGGTCGCCCGCGGACGACGAGGATGGGCCTCCGGGGGGAGAGCCGCGGATTGCAACAGCGCTGACTCGCGCGGGTGGGGGCCGGCGGGCGGGCGGGCGGCTCTTCGGGGCCTTCAAACCGAAACGCGTCCAAGTTCTCTCGCGCCGCTGAAGACGCCCCGCCGGCGCCGCTGGTGGGAGTTTGGTCCGGTCTCGGGCCGCTTTGTACCGGTTGAATCGTGGTTGGCTCTGGAAGTTGGGGCCGTAGGAGGCAGGTGCGGGGTGACGCGCTGGGCTTGTGGTCGTGGCCTGCGGTCAGGCGCGAAGCGCAGGACGAAGTGGTTCGGGGTGTGGAGTCGGGAGTCACGTTTAGTTCCTCTGTCCGCGGAGTCTTGGGGGATTTCGTCGGTTTTCTCCCTAAGACTCACCCCACCCGTTTCTTGCTCTTTAAAGAAACGTTGCCTTTGGGTAGAGAACCTAGCGGAGAGAACACAGGAAGGACCCTCAGTTTGCCCTGGGGGCTCACAAAGAGGTCCCTTCCCTAGGCTGTTGGGTGGCTGCAGGTGTCCCGGGGTTTGGGATCTCGCTGCGGAAACAGCCCGGGGGCCTGGGACAGACAGGTCAGGTGCGGCCAGGTGAGCGTGTCCCGACTGCAGGTGCCCGGGTCGTGCAGAAGGGAACATCCTCCCGGGCCTGGGAGAGTGTGCATTTGGGTGCAGGAGGACCTTTGAGGGCTTCAGGTGCGAGCCTGTCGGGGCGCCCACCTGTTCTGGTGATGAGGGCTGCGGAGCTGTGGGCGGCACTGTGGGAGATGGGCGCTTTGCTCACCCTCAGCCAGGAAGTTGCTCTGAAGTGGGTGCAGTCGGCCAGCAGAGCCAGGTGGTGATCGGACATGCTCAAGCTCAGCCCTCTGCGTGTGCCCTGTGGGAGGGCAGGCGGCAGACTTTCGGGCAGCTCCTGGAGTGCCCGGCCCAGAGGTCCCGTTGCTGCCGGTGTCTGGGCCTTGCCTGGCGCTGACAGAAGAGTTGTTTTTGTGTTTGTAGCGTAAAAGTTTCCTGTTTTGAAGCCCTTAGTGACTCCTAGCTGTTCACTAAGTGCCTATCTGTTAGTTGGGGAGGATGGATTCAGTTTTCAGTGGGATTTTTGAATGCTGGGTCTGTGTTGTGATTACATTGTAACAGATGGGCCACTTTCTCCAGTGGGCAGGCCAGCAGGAGGGGGAGCAGGGATCTTGGAGGCCAGGCCTGGCTTCTGCCTAGGATGGGTGGGTGTGCACCTGTGGCTCCCTGCCCTGATGGTAGAGTGTCCTGTACGACCCCCGCCTGGTGCTGAGTGCTTTGGGGCTGGCGGCACAGCGGCAGCAGCCCGGTCTTGGCAGGAGGTTTGGCAGGACCACCCTCATGACTTCTCACACCTGGGGCAACAATAGCTGGGGGCTGAGCACGGCCTCTGGGCGGCCCTGTCCAGTCCTCAGCAGGAAGGCCACCTGTGGCAGAGTCCCAGGCCTGCTGGCCTCTCCATGGCCTGGTCTTGCCTGGCTGTGAGCATCGGTGCCCATGGTCCTTCAGTGTCTGGAGCGCTGGTCTGGGGCTTCAGAGGCCCGTCTGATGCCTGGCCCCGCTCAGACCATGGGCACCTGGGAGCTGGCGCCTTCGTGAAACAGCCACTCGCCAGGCTGCTATGCACTGCGCAGGGCACAGGTTGCAGCCACTCAGAGACTCCTCCCTGGGGCTGGGGAAGCAAGAGCCCCTGAGTTCTCAGGCCGCCGGTACCAAGGTGGTGCTGGGCTACTCCATGTGGAAGAGCCAATGGAAGGGGAAGGTGGAGAAAACTCCACACCGGCTGGGGTGTGGAGTTTCAGACCCCAGCCAGTGCAGAGAGAACCTTGAAACCGTGGTTGGCGAGCACTCCAGCCTGCTTGGGACCCATACCCTGCCTGCCCCCAGCTCGGCCCAGCTGTGTCCTCCCCCACTTTCTCCCGACTTAGAGGAGGGTGTGGGGAAGGGCAAGCGGTCAGGAGGGCAGGTGGCCTGTGGACCCTCTGCGTCTCAGTGAGGAAGATGTGGGGAAGGACATCCCAGTGGGGCCCAGTCCGTGGCTGCCTCCAGCCCCGGCTGCCTGTCTTGGACTTAGTCATGGAGCTGGAGGCCAGGGCCCAGTGGCCCCTGTCACTCTCTCCCAGTGCCACCAGCACCTGCTGACTGGAGGACCCAGGTTCCTCTGCCTGCTTTTTCTCGGACTACCATGAGAATCCGTGTTTGGTGAAAATGAACCAAATCCCCCTGCAGGGCACGCGGCTCTAGCAACCCTGCCCGGCTTCCGGAACCGTGGTGCCCTGGTGACGCTGGACCTGCCTGGGCTTCTTAGATCCCAGCCCCCACACCTCTACTCTGCTGACTCAGGGAAGGTCATCGTGCTGCCCAAAACCTGAGTGCAGGCCTCTCAGAGCCCCGTCCTCAGTGGGGCTGCGGCGCTGTGGCCCTGGTGGAGTGCTGCCCTGGCCCTTCCTGCGGCTGTGAGATGTGTGAGGTGCGCGGGCCTCCACGGGTCCCACACCATCCAGGTCACCAGGGCCCTTGTGCCCACCTAGGACGGCCCCCCTACAGCGTAGAAGGCCTGGCGGAGTCCTCAGCTCCACAGAGGTGCCCCCCTTTGGTGCTGAAACACCAGAGTTGAGGGCGGCTGCAGCGTCCCTGTGGACTTTGCTAACCAGCACACACTTAGGTTTCGATTCTCCAGCAAGTCTGTAAACAGAGTGCTGTTTCCGTGAGTAAAGGTGGCCACCAGCAGGGTGACGGTCGAGGGTGGCGTTGAGGCTGCGGGCCCCGCCCCCTGGTGTCCTCAGCGCCAGGAACATCTCCCCGGACCTGCAGCCCTCCTGCGGCGACAGTGCGGTCCAGCATGCTCCCACCTAGAGCCATAAGGCAAAGGTGCCCGGCCCCTGAGCTCCCATCCAAATGTGTGCCGCTTCGTCTGGCCAGGGATCTGGTCCCCTATGCCGAGCTCCTGCTCTGCCCAGCAGGACCCGGCTGTCCCCTGAAGCCACAGGGTTGGGGTAGTGGCTGTGGGGTCTGGGAAGGGTGGCCCTGTGGGGGCTCCTCCCACAGCAAGTCTGAGCCTCTGCCCTGTGGTGCTTGTTCTGTCCTGTCTTCAAGAATAACAGGAGTCCACTGGCCGGTGTCTCAGTTCTGAGTGCCCGATACTAAGTCAGGGACCCAGTACCCCACACACACCTGGGGACCCAGCCCTGCCTATTCCCCACCTGGTGGTGTGGTGGGGACCCTGCCATGCCAGCCACCACAGGGTGGCAGCTACCACCTAGTCTCTGAATGTCTGTTTCGTCCCCATGGAGCAGAGGCCACACCATGTGCCACAGATGGGGGCATGGTGGGGGTGGGCACAGGGAAGGGATCTTACCTGCCCCCCACCCCGGCAGGTGATCTGGGAGCCACTCACAAAGCCTCCCCTGGTGGACTCCAGGGTTGGACAGCGGCTTGCAGAAGAGTCCTGCTGAGCTGGGCCAGCAGGTGTTGGAGCAGGTCCACCTGCTGCGCGCCGGTGTGCGCGTGATCGGGCAGCAGGAGCCTGCGTCGCCTCTCCTGATGGCGTGCTCTGCCTCCTGTGTTGCAGGGACTCTGAACATGTCGGGGATCGCCCTCAGCAGACTCGCTCAGGAGAGGAAAGCGTGGAGAAAAGACCACCCGTTTGTAAGGAGAGCTTCATGTCCGTGTGCAGCGCAGTGGGCAGTCTCCCGGGTTGAAACTGTCATGTCCCTGCCGGAAGGGAGCCGGCCACGTGCCTGTGCCCAGCCACTGGTTCTCACAGGCGGGTTCTCGGTGATCTTGGTGAAATGATGCCACCGCGCTGATGGGCTTTTGTGATTGTTTTCTCTCAGGGTTTCGTGGCTGTCCCAACAAAAAACCCCGATGGCACGATGAACCTCATGAACTGGGAGTGCGCCATTCCAGGAAAGAAAGGGGTAAGAGGCGCACGCTGCCGGCCTCCGCCTGGCGGGGCCCAGCACCACAGGGAAACCACTCAGATCCCTGCCGTCCGTGACAGCCATCCTTGTCACAGGTCAAATCCCAGCTCTGTCCTGGCCCCTGCCCCATCGGGACGTGAACGCAGAAGGTGGGACTGGCAAGGTTTGACAGCTGTATCCCCTCCCAGGGCAGTTCTGGTTGAGAAGGAAGCAGGCTGGCACCTGGCCGGGCACAAGGCTGAGCTGTGGCAGCAGGGAGGGGCTCTGATGTGTGTTGGGAACACAGAGCTGCACAGGCGAGGTTGAGAGCAGGTGGAGAGGCAGGAGTCCTTCAGGATTCGGCTGCGTCCTTCAGCGTGTGGCTCAGCTTTCGGGAGCGGGTTTGTAGGGGGAGCCAGCCCTGCGTAAAGCCGCCTCCTGGAGACCCCCCAGGGACCGGCGGCGTCTGCCTGGGCGTCCTGCTTGGGGACCCCTGTGTGTCCCTGGCAGGCAGCACAGCCCATGTGCCTGTCTTCTTTGGCCGGCGCACGTGAAGCGCCTGGCCGGGGACTCCAGGCTGCGGTGCACGTGCAGTTCATGCTTGTTGATTCCGAAGGGAGCGGAGAGACCCCTGAGGTGCTGGTCCTGCCTAAGGCCTCGTTCCCTCCGGCTCTGGCCCCGCTCTGGGTTTCTGTGAAACTCAGAGCAGCTCTGGTCCCCTGAGCTCAGCAGCCCCCAGGACTCTGCCTTGCCCGAGACATAGCGTGGCTTGGGTTTGTCACTTGTCCGAGGCTCTGAGGAGGACGTCCTTGCCCCTCACGTTAGGGCGAGGCTGGTGCACAGCGCCAAGGAAGGTGGAAGGTGGTGTGGGGTCGTGGGCGGCAGAGGTGCCTCGTCCAGGCGGGATGGGGGTGGGTGCTTGGGAACACCCCTGGGGTGAGGGCAATGCTGTGCTCTTGGTGCCCTTGTGCCAGCCCCAGTGTGCGGTGCTCTGCCCCCAGCCCGGCCCCCACCTCCCGCCTCCACTCCTTTCCAACTTACTCTGGGCACAGCAGAGGTCCTGACAGCCCTCTTGTTGAGGCTGTTCCAGGCTGCAGGCTGGTTTAGGAGCTACCTCTGTTGGGCCTCTGGCCCCTGGTGTCCTGGGGGCTGTGCCTGAGAAGCAGGCCCCTTCCTCCTGGGCCGCCCTGTGCGGGCGAGCAGCTCATCTCACCACGGTTTATTTCCCATTAGACTCCGTGGGAAGGAGGCTTGTTTAAACTACGGATGCTTTTCAAAGATGACTATCCATCTTCACCACCGAAATGTGAGTACCTCGCCATTCAGTGCCCTGGAAGGCACCCCTGGCTGCGGCCGTGGCGCCCTGGGCTGGGTGGTCTGCGTGGAGCTGGGAGGGAGATCACAGACCGGGAGGTCGCCTTTGATTCTTGATCCCGGCTGGGCTGCAGATTTGAGTCTGTTTCCAGCTCCGGGGCCGGGCGGTGCACACAGTAGGTTTAGTCTTGTCCTGGCTAATGGGCTGGGAAGCTCCAGAGTCTTGTGCACGGAGGGACTGAGAGCCAGGCCGGAGCTCCTGGACTGGGAGTGCCTGGAGCCTCACTGAGGACAGAGGACTTGGTGACCGCACGACCCTGCCCTGGATGGATGGATGTGCAGAGGGACTGCCATGCAGTCTCACCCTCTGAGGAGTTCTGTCGGTCCACCTTCTTACTGCTCCTGCTGTGTGGTCTCTTACGGTCTGTCCCCACCGTGGCTGCGTCTGCAGCCTGAGCAGGTATAGAGCAGGTGACAGCAGAGGAAGCGTGGGAAGAAAGGCTGTGGCCAGGCCCCAGATCCTGCCCATAGCTAAGCTGATGACCTCAGCCAGCCAGTGCAGCAAAGCTCAGGAGGGAGGAGAGGGCCGCCGGGTCCCCGCCCTCCCATAGCTGGCAGTCGGCAGGTGGTGTCCAGTGAGTTCCACGCGTCAATGCACCCAGCACCTAGAGAGCGCCTGGCCATGGTGAGGCGACAGTTGAAAAAGCTTTCCCCTGTGATTGTCAGTCGAGGCACACAAGCATTCCACCGTGGCACCCACCCTCCAGAGGAACCTGAGGACGACTCTCGGCACCACCGCGGCCGAGACTGGCTCATTTTGGATTGTCCTTTGCTGTCTGATTTTTTTCGCCATGCCCAGGTATCACTTAAATGATTTCCTTTTCTTTTCTTTTTTTTTTTAATTAAAAAAAATTTTTTTCAATTTTTATATTTTATAAAGATGGGGTCTCACCATGTTGGTCAGGCTGGTCTTGAACTCCTGACCTCAGGTGATCCGCCCGCCTTGGCCTCCAAAGTGCTCGGATTACAGGCGTGAGCCACCGCTCCCGGCAAAATGATTTATTTTAATTAAGAAAAATCTAAAAATAGCTGTGTTCATTGATTCAACTTTGTATTGGAATTCCAAGCAAACGCAGCTGCAGCAAGGCAAGAAGGCACAGTGGAAGGGGTGGGAGGAAGCCAGGCCCGCAGACGGGCCGTGCGTCCAGGCAGCAGTGCAGGAGGCTGAGGCGGTCACGCTTAGAGCCCCAGCATTTTGGGGGGCCAAGGTGGGCGGATCACCTCAGGTCAAGACCAGCCTGGACAACGTGGTGGAACCCTGTCTCTACTAAAAAAAAAACAAAACAAAAAGACATACAGCAATTAGCAGGTGTGGCGGCCCAGCTACTTGGAAGGCTGAGGCAGGAGAATCCCTTGAACGTGAGAGTGGAGGTTTCAGTGAGCCAAGATCGTGCCACTGCACTCCAGCCTGGGCGACAGAGTGAGACCGACTCAAAAAATAAATAATAGAAATTGAGTTACACAAATCTGCTCTTATGTAATTTCAAACTATGCCGTGTACAGCAGCATGAAATAGGTTGGAATAAATGAAGAAAAGGTTGGTTCAAGGCCTCTGTACTGCAAACTAGAATATTGCAGGGGAAACCAGGGCGGCCTGAGCAGTGGCTGAGCTCTCTGCGTGTGGAGGGGAGACACGTGCAGACGGCCGTTCTCTTCCAGGCCGTCTGCAGGCTCCGTGTGGTGCCCGTCTCGATGGAGACTGCTCCTGTGCCGTACGGCACGGACTGTGTGTGGAGGTGCAAGGGACTTGGATTCTCAGTAGAGGTGGCAAGGGCCAGGCTGAGGCTCGGTGGGTGCACATGCGCCGCGCCAGACCTCCCTCAGGACTCGGGGATGGAGACTGCGGGGCTGTGGAGAAGACAGGCAGGCCCAGCGAGGAGGCCAGACACCACGCGTGTGGCGGCACCGGTCTGGAGGGCTGTCCCAGTAGGAGAAACAAGCTCTGCCTCCCTCCTGCCACAGAGAAACAGCTTCCAGGTGGACCATGGCCCTCAAACAACAGCATGGAGAGAGACCCGGGAGGGCGTCTTCCTGAGCTCTGCAGGCAAGGCTCTCTGCACCAGGGCGCTCTGTGGGACACCGACTAGTTGACTGCATCGACCCAGAACGTCTCTTTATGCTAAAGACAGCAGGAGGCACTCCATAGTGTATGTACATGTCTCAGCCCTGCCCACAGCTCCTAGGAATCACTACGAAGGCAGACAGCCATGAGGTCCAGCGTCTTCCTCACAGGAGAGGCCACTTCCCGGCGACAGACATAGGCCGGGATACCTGGCTTTGCACAGCGTGGAAGCCTCCCCAGAGGGAGCGGCTGTACGGCACAGGAGCTGACAGAGCCGGGGCGCAGGGCCGCGGGAGCCCTCCACCGCCCCTGGAGCGCACGTTCGTTCTGGAGGCTTCCCGTGGAATGCTGCCTGTCACGTCTCTGGAACCTGAGCTCCTGCCTGCTGTAGAGCCTGGCTGTTCCCTCTAGTCAGCCATGATTCACAGAAACGCACACGCGTGTCCACCAAAGGCACAGACGGGTGCCGGTGTCAGGCCCCTTTGCCACAGCCCGGATGTCCTAGGATGACAGGTGGGGAAGAGTGAAGAGGCCACGTGACACCTGGTGGACAGTCCAGGCGGGAGAGCGCTCCTTTTTTGTGCCTTCTGCGAAGCACAGGGGCAGCCAGGCTGGGTGTCATGAGGAAGCAGGAGGCAGCTTCCCCCTTCCGAGGGCTGGCGTGCTGGCAGCCAGCACCTGTGTGCCTTTCTGTGGGCAAGCTGTGATTGGCAGAAGAAATGAGATTGAGAAATCAAATCGAATTGAAATCAGGCTCTCAAGTTCGCCAAAAGATTCCCTTAGAAGAGCAAAGAGTTGGGCCAGGTGCAGTGGCTCATGCCTCTAATCCCAGCGCTTTGGGAGGCTGAGGTGGGCGGATCACCTGAGGTCACGACTTCAAGACCAGCCTGACCAACATGGAGACACCCCATCTCTACAAGAATACAGAAATTAGCCGGGCGTGGTGGCAGGCACCTGTGATCCCATCTACTCGGGAGGCTCAGGCAGGAAGAATCGCATGAACCCGGAAGGCAGAGGTTGCAGTGAGCCAAGACCGTGCCATTGCATTCCAGCCTGGGCAACTCTCAAAGCCAGAAGTTGAGCCCAGAGCAGGAGAAGAACCCTGTGAGATGTGTCATTTCAGGACCTTCTTTGAATCATTCGCCAGGAAGCGGTCGGGGCTGGAAGGGGCTCCACTCAGCAATCCCCAGGAGGTGCTGTGTAGAACCACAGGAGTGCCCGCCGTGCACCTTACCCAGTGGCTGAAATCCGCCGGCGATGCAGCCTGCGTGAGCAGCCTGGAGGCAGCAGGGCTGAGGACGGACGCCGTGATGCAGTGTTCCACAGCACCATGCTCCTGCGCCAGGGTTCACACTCGGGACCGCCCCGCAGCTGCTGGTGTCGCCTGTGGGCTCCTGCGGTGTGGGATGGTTCACGGTGTGGGGCGGTCTGCGGTGGTGCCCTCGCTGCATTCCCCAAGGAGCGTATACCGTGCTTCTCCATGGTACCTGAAGTCCAGGAAGCTGCCCGCGGATGCTGGCGTTGGAATTGGGGGCAGGCACAGTGGTCAGTAGGAGCGAGTGTTGGGGAGACATGGGTGTTCGTGGACACTGTCTTTTTGGTAATGCCACTAGACTTGCTGCACTGCGTGTCAGTGAATAGCATTGAGAGAAGTGGGAGAAGGCCCTGGCAAAAGATGGCCCCAGACGGGGCTAATGGTGGCAGACTTCTGCTTTTCCCTAAGAAATAACACGGTCCAGAAGCCTGTGTCTTGTGGAAGCAGGGGGTCTGCGTGGAAGCCGCTGACTCTGGAAGGGCCTGGCTATTTCCCTGGACGCCGCCTCCTGTCTCCCCCGAGTCTGGCCCAGCTGGGAAGGACATGGAGCTGCAGGTGAAGCGGCCACCCTGGGGCTGCTGTTCCCCGAGTTCCATCCCGGGAGACGCGGCTTTGTCTCTGGCCCGAGGCTGTGTCGCCCAGGCCCTGTTCCTGGGTGCAGAGGTGGATGTTTCTTTCTCTTATTCTCTTATCTCCTCGTCGCCACAGTTCTGTTGTTTTTTTTTTTTTGAAAAGTTCTTGGCCAAATACCTGTCTGGCAACCTGATGCCCCAGTGTGGGGAGGAGGGTGATCTGGACAGTGTCTGCTTCCAAAAAGCGCTTCCTCTCCCTCGTTCTCCAGGTAAATTTGAACCACCGTTATTTCACCCAAATGTGTACCCTTCGGGGACAGTGTGCCTGTCCATCTTAGAGGAGGACAAGGACTGGAGGCCAGCCATCACAATCAAACAGGTACGGGCCTCCTGCACGCCACGGCTGCCTCAGTGTCCCCTGCTGCCATGCGGGTCTGCAGTCGCTCTGGCTGAAGCCCAGTCTCACGGGAGTCTCCCTTTCAGACTGCTCACACTCCTGTCTTGTTTTTGTCTCTGGCACAGATCCTATTAGGAATACAGGAACTTCTAAATGAACCAAATATCCAAGACCCAGCCCAAGCAGAGGCCTACACGATTTACTGGTAGGTAGCACTTCTGGCGCCACCAGCGGGAGCTCCCTGCATCCCCACTGAGGCCACCTGGCTGGAGGGGACCGGACCCACAGGCTCACGCTAGAGACAGCCAGGGTCCCCGCCTCCAGGGCGAGGGTCGGGGCGTAACCCCTGTGGGCAGCAGGCACCGTTGTACGCAGGGTCTGCGGTGGGAATGGGCGGCCCTGGAGCCCTGTTCGCAGCGGGAGCAGGCCAGGTGACAGGGGCCATCTGGGACCACAGCCCCAGTGAGTCATGGCTGGCTAGGAGGAAAGGCTCCTGCGTGCGGGCGGCGGAGGAGGCCATGCTGAGGGGCCTGTCCACCAGCACAGCCTCCCACACCGCCCCTGCTGCTTGTCCCGTCCCCAGCACACTTGCCTCCTGTGGGTGAGTCCAGCCCCGCAGGGCTCAGGGATGCCGCCACACAGGCATGCGCTCCACCCTGTCCCTGTGAGGTGCCGCTTCGGCTAGAAGGGTCCCCATGGTCCTGTGGCCACCATCTGCACCAAGGGCCTGGTGTGAGTCAGGATGCAGACGACCACCACACAGTGCTGGGGATGGCAGGGAGGAGCCTGCCCTGAGCAGAGGCCATGCCCTGCCTGTCCTGTCCCCAGCCCTCGGGCCACCTCTGCAGCTGCTCTGGCTAGGTCTGCAAGGAGGTGGGTTTGGGGCTCTGACTCCCACTGCAGCACTGAGAAACCCAGCCTCATCTCAGCACAGGTCCCCACACCTCTGAGGGGGTCCTGGGGGCCCCAGCAACCAGGTATCCAGAGGGCTTACCCAGCAGCCATCCCGCACATCCCTGCAACCATGGGGTTGGAGGCCCGCTCCTTCCAGGGGTGTCTCCCGGTCAGAACAGGGAGGCCAAGGGGTCCCAGCTGCACTGAGCCCGGCCTGCACAGGTCCTGAGGGAAGGCCCCTGGTTCCGGAGAGACGTGTTTCTCCCTGTTTGCAGGCCCAGCCCCAGTGTCTACAGGGTGCCCTCCCTGGTGGCTGAGGGTGGCAGAGAGGCCCCAGGCAGGGAGCAAGTGTCACAGCACCCACCCCAGCCTCAGCCTGGCTCCCCTGCACACCACACAGCCGCTCCGTAAGCCGTCTTTGCTGGAACTGGCTCGTGGGACATGGCGTGACTTGGGTTTGTGTGCTGGCCTGCTGTGCACTAGGAGTCCGTGAGACGCATTCCCTCGGGCAGGAAGCCACAGTCCTCACGGGTGTCCACATGGCCCTTGAGGCAGAAAATTGGGGGGTTTTTTTATACTGAGTTTTCCTCTTATTGCCCAGGCTGGAGTGCAGTGGTACGATCTCCACTCACTGCAGCCTCCGCATCCCAGGTTCAAGCCATTCTCCTGCCTCAGCCTCCCGAGTAGCTGGGACTACAGGCACGCTCCACCACACCCAGCTAATTTTTTTGTATTTTCAGTAGTGACGGGGTTTCTCCATGTTGGTCCGGCTGGTCTGGAACTCCTCACCTCAGGTGATCCATCTCCTTACCTCCCAAAGTGCTGGGATTATAGGCGTGAGCCACTGTCCCTGGTCAGAAAATGTTTCCTAGGCCAAGTGTGTGGTTCACGCCTGTAATCCCCGCACTTTGGGAGGCCAAGGCAGGTTGATGGCTTGAACCTGGGTATTTAAGACCAGACTGGTCTCCATAGTGAGACCCCATCTCTATAAAAAGTTTAAAATTTTGCCAGGTGTGGTGGCTCACGGCTGTAATCGCAACACTTTGGGAGGCCACCGTGGGAGAATTGCCTGAGCCCAGGAGTTGGAGGCCAGCCTGGGCGACATGGGAAGGCCTCCTCTCAGAAACAAACCGAGCTGGGCGTGGTGGTGCTGCACGCCTGTGGTCCCAGCAGTCTGGAAGCTGAGGTGGGAGGATCGCTTGAGCCCGGAGGTTGGCGCTGGAGTGAGCCATGACCGCGCCACCGCACTCCAGCCTGGGCGACAGAGCGTGACCCTATCTCAAGAAAATGAAAAAGCAAATGTTTTCCTGTCCGGCCCTCGGCTGGTTTGCTGTCGCCAGCACGGTGTGAGCGTGAGCCATGTCTGGCCTGCGCAGCCCTTGCCGATGCCTCCAGAGCTGGGTGGTGGCTCCGGGCTGTGGCATGGGCTGGCGGGGCTGCCATCCCCCTGTGACTCTGCTGGTGTCTCCTGTCAGCCCAGCCTGCTGGGCTGCCCTCTACACTTGTGTTCACATGAACAAGCGTTCTTTCTCCCACAAACACGCATTTGGAAAGCACCCTTTGTGCAGCTCCTGTGCGGGTTTCAGATCCTCTTTCCTGGGCTTCCTGGTGGCCCTGGGCCGTGTTCCTGCCCTGGTAGGTGCCTCTTTGTGTGGGCACTGCCTCTGGGTGCTTCCATGCCCACCCAGCTGAGCTGCTCTGCCCTGGGGCCATCTGGTGGTGTAGGGTGCCGTCCAGGCCCTTGGCCTGCGTGGGAATGGTACCCGCCCTGGGGCCATCCTGGGCTTCTGGCCTTCACTCTGCACCATCCCTGACTCAGCTCAGGGTCTCAGAGCACCTCCAGTCCTGGAGAGACTGCCAGGAGCCACCTCCGTAACTGTTGTGGTGTTCCCATGGTCCTCAAGGTCGAGCTGCCCCCGCAGCCCATCAGCCCCCAGGCAAAACCTTGGCCACCCTCCCACAGACCCGTTTTGCCCAGGCAGTGTGTGTCATTTGCCCTCCTGGGCAGCTTTCCCAGGCCCAGCCCCGGTCCTGTTCCCCAGTGTCCCTGTACCACCCAGCTCGGGTACAGCCCCTTCTGAGCCAGGCCTGCCTTCCCACACCTTTACCCCTGGGCTGAGAGCCTCATGGAAGAGCCCTCCAGAACTTAGTTTCTATTTTTGGGAGTTAACAATGGCAAACAATGAGTGTTTTTAATTTATTAGCACTGTTCCTAGACTTATAAAAAGGGAAGCTGCTGTGGGCTAGTTAGGATCAGATGTGGGCGCTGGTGATGATGGTGCAGGCACCCTGGCAGCGAGAGCCACGTGGGGCCTGTGCCCTCCACTCCGACGCCACATCCGCCCAGCACTGTTCCTCTCCTCCCTGCCCGTCCGACCCCTCACCACAGGCTGGTCTCGGCCTCATCAGAGCCGGCCTGGGCTCCCCGCCACGAAGGCCTCCCTGCCTCTGCACTCCCCCAGGAGGTCCCGTCCTCCGAGCCGGCCCCGGGGCCGCTGCGCTAACTGCCTCCTCTTTTGACCTCCTCAGCCAAAACAGAGTGGAGTATGAGAAGAGGGTCCGAGCACAAGCCAAGAAGTTCGCGCCCTCGTAAGCAGCGGCTGTGGCCTCGCAGAAAGGAAGGGATTGGTGTGGCAGGAACTTGTTTACACTTTTGCAAATCTATCAAGTTCTCCGTACAGTGACTAGTCACCGGGGGGGTTGGGCGGGCGCCATCTTCCATTGCCGCCGCGGGTACGCAGTCTCGATTCGCTCAGTTGCCCGTTTTTCATACAGGGTCTCTTCCTTCAGTCTTTTGTATTTGGATTGTTACGTAAAACTTGCTTTTATTTTAATATTGATGTCAGTATTTGAACTGCTGTAAAATGATAAACTTTTATACTTGGGTGAGTCCCCCAGGAGCGAGCCCTCGCTCTCGGACGCAGGCATGCTTCTCACCGTGCAGAGCTCCACCTCGCCCCGGCTGGCTGTCTGGAAATGCGCCCCCCCGCCGCTCCTCTAGGGCCTGGGCTGTGTTGCCTTCGAGCCTCAGATCCCAGGTCAGCCGCCTCCGTTCTGCGTCACTTCCTTGTGTTTATATGGCGTTTTGTCTGTGTTGCTGTTTAGGGTAAATAAACTGTTTATATAAAGGTTTTGGTTGCATTATCGTCATTGAAAGTGTGAGGAGGTGGCCTCCGAGTGCCCGGCCCTCCCCTCCCGACTGCAGCCCCCCCCAGAGCCAGGACCCGGCTCTCCCGTCGGCTGCCCAGGCTGCGTGGCTCCATCTTGCCCTGGATCTTTGTGACTGTGCTGTGCTGCTGAGGTTTCTGTGCTCCCCACCCCAGAGCTTCTGGCCGGAGAGCACTGGGCAGTTAAGATCTGCACAGGGTGGGATTGGCGTGGAGACCCTGGAAGGTGTGCCCTGGTGCCAGCTGTCTTGGGTGGGGCACAGGGCCAGGGCCAGACCAGGGCTGAGGCTGCATGAGGACTGCTTTCGAGGCAGCCTGCTGGTGGGGCTACCCCTCCTCAGTGGCTGGGTCACGGGCACCACCTCGGGTGTCTGTCCCTCATGCCTCAGGAGGCAGCTCTGCTCCCACCCCAGCAAATGCAGGAGAGCCCACAGCTTGGCCCCTCCGGGGCTTCCCTGACCCTTAGCGACAGGTGGAGGGCCCTGGGCAGCCTGTGCCTGGAATTCTCTGTCCTGATGCCGCCTGAGTGGTCTCTCCCGGGGAGGCTGCGCCCCTCGCAAGCAGCCCTGGCCCTGAGCCCTCTGCAAAGGCTGGGCCAGCCGGGCCTCGTGTGGCTGCCTGAGCCAGGGCTGAGCCATCATAGGAAGTGGCCTGGCTAGGTCGCCACCCAGCAGGAAGGTGCAATGGACAGAGATGGGAAGGCCTGGGGGCTGCGGCCAGCCCCCCCAGGCCCCACCCAGTCTCCCCATCCCATCGGGCTTGGCCCTCCTCAGTCTCATTTTGAGCTCCAGGGCTGGAGCTGGCCCGGGCACTCCCCGGCGGCTGGAGCTGGGTCTCAAGGGGGCGGGTGGGTGCAGAGAGTGCAGGGAGGGCGGCCCAGGGCCTGGGATGGGGAGCTCGGCGCCCTCCGTCTGTGAGGGGCCCCTACCGCCGTGGGCGAGGGCACTCCCAGTCGGCGCTGGCCGCTCTGGTGCAGCGGGTGCCTCGTCTGCTTTCTGGCTTCTGCAGGGCCAGGGCACCGAGCTCTCGGCTGTTTTCGGCCCGTTTATAACGCGTGGGCCTTACCTGGGGAATTGAGCCGCTTTGAATATTTCCAGCCACTCCCAGAATGTCTTATTTTGTATGACTGAACTGCGCTTAGGATTAGTTACACATGTGAACGGTTCATATATATGGAAATTCAATATATTTTCTAGTTAATGTATTCTAAAGTAACGGATGTTTCTCGCCGATTGTAGTGACTTCAGCTAAGGAAATGCTCCTTCTGTCGTCCCACGTCCTCGGCCTCACGAGGACGTGCGTCTTGTAACAGCTCTGAAACGGGGTCGTTTGTTGAATGGAAGGGAAGGTGTGTTCCCGGCATGAGGTGCCTCTGAATGAGTGACAATTGTGGGCAATGGGTTAACCACTGTATCTGAGAATCCACCAATTAAAGCATTTGCAAAGACTGCTGCCTGCTGGGTGTGTCCTTTCCTGACCTGTCCCCAGCTCCCCTGGGCTGCCGCGCCCCCCCAGGGTTCCCTACCGGTCCTGCCTCCAGCCCAGCGTCAGCTCCTTTGGGTGACGGCACCTCTAGCCAAGGTGAGCCCCAGCCTCAGGGTCTCCATACCTACACCTCCCTGGCCTGCTCTGGGGGTCTCCCCCTGGGACCCAGGGCTGCTCTGGCTGCTCCTGGCAGAGGACCTCCTGGAGAGCAGGGACCCCCAGGTGTGCAGAGAGCTCTCCTCACAGGGCTTATCCAGGGCTGGCTGGAGCCCCCAGAGAGGAGGCCGGTGCCCAGGTGCAGGGAGCCCTGTCCACCGTGGACAGGCCAGCCAGGCCTGAGCTGGCGCTGGGGGAGCCCTCCCTTGGCTTTGGGGGTCAGGCTGGCCGCACATGCCCTCCATATCTCAGGTGCCTTGGGACTTGGGTCTGACTGGACTGGAGGAGGTTAGGAGACGTGGCCACCATGCTGGCTGCTGTCCCCCAGAACGCGGGCTCCTGGCCAGTCTGCTGGTCCCAGGTCCTCTCACCTTCCCGGACCGGAAGCCTCCCTTGTGGTTGCCATGACGATGATTTGCCAGGTTGGAGGGCCTTGCACTGACTCAGACTGGCTGCAGCTGGTCTGAGCCAGCTCTAGCAGGGAGGGGCCTGGGAGTGCCGGGTTTGGGATTCATCCCCAGGCTACCCTGATTCCGGGTCCGGGGCGTCCTGATGCACCTGCTCAAGAGACGCGAGCAGGTGCCTGAAGCCCCCAGGCACTGCCTGGTCTAGGGAAGCCGTTGGCCCAGTTGGGGTGGGTGCTCCTGGCTTTGGCCCATTGGGTGGGAGGGGGCTGGGGCAACAGTCCCACCCACCATGCCTGTCTCTGGCCCAGTCTGGCCCAAAGACTCCCGCACCTCCCAGGATGCCAGTTTATCCAGCTCTTAGGAAAAAATAGGAACGGGCACAAGAAGACCACGGGCATGTTGGGCCTGGGCTCTTCCTTCCCTGGGCCTCTGCCTCCCTCCAGGACGCTCTCCTCCAAAGAAGGCAAGTTCCCACTCCGCCGTGCGGGCAGGGCCTTTGTTTTTTTTTTTTTTTGGAAACGCAGTTTCGTTTCGCTCTTGTTACCCAGGCTGCGGTGCACTGGCTAGACCTCGGCTCACTGCAACCTCCACCTCCCGGATTCAAGCAATTCTCCTGCCTCAGCCTCCCAAGTAGCTGGGATTACAGGCACCTGCCGCCACACCAGGCTAACTTTGTGTCTTTAGTAGATACGGAGTTTCTCCATGTTGATCAGGCTGGTCTCCAACTCCTGACCCCAGGTGATCTGCCCACCTTGGCCTCAAAGTGCTGGGATTTACAGGCATGAGCCACCAAGTCTGGCCTGGGCTGTGCCTTTAAGGAGGGACTGAAGCCTCCAGGCCGGGAGGAGTTGCCTCCCACCGCCAGTTCCGCACAGAACCATGCGAGCAGAGGGCCTGGCCTCTCCCTGCCGGGCCCCTAACCACGGTGAGCACAGAAGCCCGCCTCTCGGGGAAGAGGCCTCTGACACCCCCACCCTCAGGCTGGTGGGAAGCCTGGCCAAGGGACAGGGCGCCATCCTCTCTGCCATCTAGGCCTCGCCGCAGCAGGGGCTGTCCTGCCTGCTGGGCTCCGGCACACCAGTGGCCTTTGTTAGGGGTCTTGGTGGGACCCTGTCTTGGGCCCACCTCTGTGCCCTCACCACGCCCTAGACCCCTCACAGATGCTGCAGTGTCATGGAGGCCTGATAGAACGCCAGTGTGGCACCGGGTGTTCACCTCCAGCCGGCTCCACCTGTGCAGTGGCAGTCACAAGACTCCCAGAGCTGCCGGGGTGGGCTCTGGAGCCAGCATCCGGCCGGGGCCCTCCCAACCACAGCCCCTCCCTTGCTCAGGCACTTCTACCCCAGGGGCAGTGGGGGCAAGGAGCAGGTTCTGGCAGTCTTCAGGGTCCCTGGCTGGAGTCCCTGGGCTGACCCCATGAGCTCTCCTGGACCCTTCCTTTCCCTGCTTGGGTCCACAGAGGGGAGTGGGGGCGGGGACTTCTGGGAGGCTGCGCCTGCAATTCCTAGGGCTGCCACCAGAGGGTGGCAGCACCAGGCCGTGCACTATGCTCATGAGTGTGGAACAGAAGTGGGCGTGTGACGCTGCCGTGACCTCACCTGCATGCTTCAGCAGCCGTGTAGCCTGTGTGTGCAGAGCCCGTTCTTTCCCCTGGCCCTGAGCAGAAAAAGCCGCCCTCCCCGCCTGCCAGACCCTTCCCAGCACAAAGTCCTGAGAATGTGGAAAGAACCAGGCTTGAAAAGTGGCTTTTCTCAGCTTTGCACAAGCAGCCCAGTGTCCCGACAGCCTCCCAGGCTCTGACCCCGCCTGGGCAGGTGGTCCTGTGTCCCAACACATCGCAGGAAGGCGTTCCTGCACCTGCACTGCCCCCTCCCCGTCCCCGGAGCACGCAGCTGTCTGCTCTCTGCTCCGAGGCCAGAGGTGCCCCTTCAGAGTGAGGCCTGGGCTCAGGCATGGGGAGGGTGAGCGGCCCCCTCTCCTGCCCTCTCTCTTAGTGGAAGGGGACTCATGTAAGGATGGGCTTCCAGCCCCAGGCTACAGAAAGGTAGACTGGGTCACTGAAGGGGCCGGAGCTCAGGCGGGAGGCTCAACTGAGGCTGAGCTGCTGTGAGTTGAGATTGGCTCACTGAGGCCCCCCCTCAGCTGTCCCCAAGGTGGGCGCTGCTGTTGTCCCCATCTTACAGATGAGGGAAACTGAGGCACAGGCAGTGGAAGGTCACCTTGGGGCTGGGGTGAGCGGGAGGCCGGGACTTTGACCCAAGTCAGCCTAACATCACTCAGCCCGTTCATCCGGTGACTTCGCACTGAATGTCTGTGGAGGGGAGAGTCCGAGGGATCATCCTATCCCGGGGAAACCAAGGCCCAGGGCTGCTCTGGGACTCAGCCTGTGACTCTGTGGCCCTGGAAAAGCCCTTTTCCATCTCCGGACTTTGGTCTCCCTGCCTATAAGAGTGGAGAGAGGTCTCCAAGGGCGCTCCCACCCGCGACGGACGGCCGCCTCGGGCTCAGGGCTGCTGCCCTCTTGGGGCTGAGCGGCGGCCGCCCCTCCCAACTTCCTGTTTACTGCACCACCCAAGCCAGTGTGATCGCCATGGCAACCGGCCCGCGTTGGTTCCAACAGGTGGGCAGAACCCGGTGCAAGACTGCAGAGGCGGGGGCGTCACTCCCAGACCGGGCTCCAGACCCGCCAGCCCCTTGGGAGGGACGCTGCTGCAGACTGGGGCTCAGGGCACAGCCCCTCCCCTGCTTCCCCGCGGCACCCCCATCCCAGGCAGTCCCTGCATTTCCTGCATACTCCCTGCCCTCCAGCACGGGCCTGGCTGTGCTGGGTCAGGCTGAGGCAGGGCCCGGGGAGGAGCTTCCTGGAGAGCCCACCCGGCAGTCCTGCCCCCCACTCTGCAGACGGGTGCGGGGAGGACATGTGAGTGAGTGGGGACCCAGAAGTCAAGCCGGTTGTTGGCAGACTAGCCCCCTCCCTTTGAGGAGCTGTGTTCGGAAGCCCATCTGGCCTCGGGCTGCCCCTCACCCCAGCGGCCCCCGAGTGCTCCATTCCTGCCTCTGGGCCTGAGCTGGGGTGGGCTCCAGGCCTGCCTTTCTGCTACTCACGAGGCAGGAGCCCCACCATTAGGGATGCACCCCCACTTCCCCAAAGGGCTGTGAGTGTTCAGCTGTATCCGTCCAAGCGCAGGTGGGGATCCAGGGGCCGCTGCACCCTCAGGAAGTCAGAGAGCCTTGGGACGCCCAGGGCCGTGCTTAGCCCGGAGTTCTCCAAGTGTGGTCCCCGGACCCGCAGCAGCAGCAGGCGGGAGCTGGGAAGTGTAGTGCTAGCCGGGCGCGCGCCAGGGCCACACCAGCGATCTCAGCGCCTTAGGAGGCCGGGTAAGGGGGATACCTTAAGCCCAGGAGTTCGAGACCAGCCTGGGCAACATAGGGAGACATTCCCCTCCACCCCATCTCCACAAGTAAAAAAAATTAGCGGGCGGGTGGTCCCAGCTACTGAGGAGGCTGAAGCGGGAGGATCACTTGAGCCAGAGAGTTCGAGGCTGCAGTGAGCCGAAATGGCGCCTCTGCATTTCAGCCTAGTTGAGCTTTTTTGGAGAGCTCTTTTAAGACTTAAAAGAGGGAAAAAATGCAGATCGCGGCCCCGCCCGGACTTTGGGAACCGGAGAGTTGGGGGTCGGACCCCTCAATGCCTTAACAAGCCCTGCGGGGAGACCGCGGGCCTGGCGGGGGGGAAGGTTCGAGGACCGTGCGGCAGAGGGAGGCTGGGGAGGGGCCGGCCGGGTCCAGTTTAGACCCCAGGAGCTCCGGCCGGCTGTGACCCCACAGCGCCCAACTGTGCCCTCAGCAGAGCCCCAGGGACGATCGCCCCCGGCCGTCCGCGTGGGCACGGGGCGTCCCGAGTGGATCCCTGCAGAACACACGCCCGCCCCGAGAAGAGAGCGGCGGGGTCCTTGAGCCAGGCCCTTCCAGAAAGGTCTGCGCCGCGGCCGGGGTTGGTGACTCTGGCTTCCCGGGGGCTCCGCGGAGGAGACTCCGCCGACAACCCCTCCCAGCCCCCACGCGCCGCGGGGAGGGCGCGCGCGGCCAGGCGGGGTCCAGCAGCAGCCGAGCCACGCACCCACCTGTGGGTTGACTGACAGCCCCGCACCCCGGGGGAGGGGGCTCCGGGCGCAGGGACCCCCGCCCCGTCCCGTCAGGCGCAGTGGGCGCGGGGGGCGGGGTCGAACCAGGAGCGTGGGCGGGGCGAGCGCGGTCAGGCCCCGCCCCTCGTCGCGGTCCCGCCCCCGCCCCGCCCCCGCTGCGGGTCAGCCCCGCAGTTGCTCAGTCGTCGGCGCGCGCTGCTGGGAGCGGTCGCTGTGCCTCGGCGTCCCCGAGTTGGTGCCCGAGCGCGGCGCCC